AGCATCTTTTGTAATATTAACTTATATTCAGTTGAGAAAACTGATTTAAGCAATATGTCAGCATTCACTAGTATCTAATACACATCAGTGAAATACACGTATACATCTACTTCTACTATAGCATACAGCTATTCCGCACACAGTATGCTTAACGTCCAATAAGCGAATGCCCTATTGGAAATACAAGCACTTCCAAATGAAAACAAAATATTTTCCTACAGGACCTGATCATAGACATATAAATGTACAGCCACTATCATTTTGGATTTAATAAATATTAAAAGTACACTTTTGTAGGAAAACAATTGCTCTCAAGATTTTTTTGAATGCCTCTTTTACCTCTTTGTTCCTCAAACTGTAGATGATGGGGTTCAGCATAGGAATGATAATGGTGTAAAAAGTAGACACGACCATGTCATGCTCCGGAGCATAATTTGCACTCGGTCTCACATAAGTGAAAAGGATTGTCCCGTGGTAAATGGACACTCCGGTGAGGTGGGAGCCACATGTGGAGAACACCTTTTGCCTCCCCTCAGCAGAATTCATCCTCAGAATGGCCAGCAGGATGAAGCCATAGGAAATCAAGACAATCAGGATCGTGACCACCTCAATGGCGCCCACCAAGTAGAAGAGTAGAAGCTGGTTGGTGTGAGTATCAGAGCAGGAGATAGCGAGGAGGGGAGGGATGTCACAGAAAACGTGCCGAATTTCATTGGAACCACAGAAGGAGAGGTTAAACGTGGCCACAGTGTGTACCGTGGCATGTAAGATACCACCTACATAGGAAGCGGCGATGAGAGGCACATAGACCCTGGGTGACATAGTGACAGAGTACAGGAGCGGGTTGTAGATGGCCGCATAGCGGTCGTAAGCCATCGCCGCCAAGAGAAAGCATTCTGTGGTCCCGAAAGTAACGAAGAGAAGCATCTGTGCTGCACATCCCCGAAATGAAATGCTTCTATCCTTTGTCAGAAAGTTGATCAACATTGTGGGCGTGACGACAGTGGAGTAGCAGGCATCCAAGAATGATAGCACGCTGAGAAAGTAGTACATGGGCTTGTGGAGCCGGATGTCACTGAAGACCAATGCTACCAGACCCAAATTTCCCACCAGAGTAAAAAGGTAGATAGCCAGAAATAGGAGAAACAGGAAGACTTGCAGGTCAAAATCATCTGTGAAACCAGTCAGGATGAACACACTGACTTCAGTCACATTCCTCAGTTGAGTCATGTGTGAATCCATCATTTTTGTTACCATTATTGATGTTCTAGTTGTTATTTACAGGTTGTAAGGGCAATGTCTCATGAATGTCAAATGTATTCTCCTGTTTATAGATTGGAAAGTCATAGAGAAATGCTTGTCATTCTCAGAAACAGACAGCAATGAAGCAGTCTACTCCAAAGGTATCCGTTATTCTCTCAGACAAATGGAAGAAATACTGTTATGCATTCATTAATAGAGTGCATCTTTGGGAAAGAATCTGCCACTTCAACCTGCTTCCTTGTCAGTGTTTTTTCTGAAAGTCTGTCACCTGCTCTTATATTCATTCTTGCTTAAAATGGAGCACACTTCCTGATTCTGGATGTCAGGGCACCCGCCTGACCCGGTCGTGTTGAACCCAGTCTTATGATGCTCATTTTGTCCCATCAGTGCTTAGTAGGCTGTAAGAGACACAGACAGAAAGCGTCTTCCTGGCGCAGACTCATGCTTCACTTTGCAAAAAGGAGCAATTCAGTGTTTTCATTTCTGTTTTATTTTTCTGTTTCTGTTTATTTTTTGGAATCAAGATATTACCGTTTCCCTCCTTGTGCCTCTGCTTTTAATGATTTAACCTACATTATTTTTTTTTCATATGGCC